ATTTACTTATCTGGTAATTACGATGAAATTCTTTTCGAGGTAGGTAAAAGGGATTATAAAATTAAATGAGATATTGTAGTTATGAAAAGATGACCAGCCTGTCCTCCGAGATGTCCAATCAGCGAGATGAGCTTGCTGAAAAGATGACCAGCATGTCCACCGAGGTTCATGAGGTTAATGAAGAAGTCTCCAACCTCTCCCGGGCCATGGCTAACCAGGCAGCAGAACTGCGAGCAGAAATTTCCCAACAGGAAGAAAGAATATCCGGTTTGATCGCTCAGCAGGAGGAAAGAATATCCGGCGTCGAAGAAGAGATCCAGAAATTACAAGATTTCCTGTCCAATCCGCCACCTCCTGGAAGCAGAGAAGAGGAACCCAACCCCGTGGTAGAAAGGCTGGAGAGCAATCTTTCAACTCTCGAGATCAAGCTCCATGCGATCGAAGAACGATTCTCCCGCCAGTCTTCAAGAGGTGAAGATCGACGAGACTTCGGCGCTGTAGGTGAGACCAAAGCCAGAATGAAGCCACCTACCTTCGACGGCAAGACCTCCTGGCCCAACTATCTCAAGCAGTTCAACGCAGCGGCCGACGCCAACGGATGGTCCCCTGGGGAGAAGGCAGTAGCACTCACAGTTGCCCTACGTGGTGATGCTTTAGATGTCCTGCAGACCCTCCATGCCGACGAGTCCAAAGACTTCGATCAACTGGTGAAGCGTCTAGAGATGAGGTACGGCCAAGCACACCTGGAACAAGTCTACCAGTCCCAATTTAAGAATAGAAGACAAAAGGCAGGTGAGTCCATCCAGGAGTTCGAAGCCGACGTTGCACGGATGGTACGCTTTGCCTATCCCTCGGTCCCTGAAAGCGTACTCGAATGCCTAGCTGTCCAAGCGTTCGTCGATGGAATGAGAGACCAGGAGTTGCAGAGAGCACTGCGCCTAGCCCGTCCCAAGGTCCTGGTGGATGCACTGTCAACGGCGTTGGAGTTTGAAGCAGCAACTGCAGCGTCCCGTGCCCATGACCGAGTCCGAGCCGTCATCAGCCACTCCAGAGAAGAGGAACACCATGGAGACTCCAACAGGGAGATCCTAGAACAGCTGGTGAGCCTGATGAAGACTATAGCGACGAAGAAGAGGAGATCAGTACGATGTTGGAACTGCGGAGAACTTGGTCACGTTAGAAGTACATGCCAGCATCGTGACAAGACCACCCAAGATGACCCCCAGGCAGCCGGAAAACTAGAACGGGTCGACTCCAGAAGGGCGACATCGACCCGAAGTAGCCTACAAGACCCTCTCCTCGTCCTGGCTTCACTGAGTCACCGTAACGCCGACGCCCTTTTCAGAAGACCTTGCCAATAGAATTGCTCCCATTGCAGTCGCCTTGAGGAGAAGGAAGCCAGCCTGCACCAGATTAAAGTCGTCAGCGAGGAATGGTCCAAAGGGAGGATTCAAGAGCAGCAAGAGAGCGACCCTGATCTGAAAAGAATCAGAGAATGGGTGTCAGCAAATCGTCGTCCAACCTGGCAAGAGGTATCCTCATCTTCACCAGGACTAAAATCCTACTGGGCTCAGTGGAACTCCTTGGTGATTGAAGAGGGGTTGCTAAAAAGAATCGTTGAAAATGCCGATGGCACTGAATCAAAGAGGCAGCTGCTAGTCCCGAAGACCTGCATACCAGAGATACTACGACAGCTTCACGATGGAACGTCAGGAGGACACCTGGGTGTGAAGAAGACGTTACAGAAGGTTCGAGAAAGGTTCTACTGGGTGAGCTGCTCCGACGACGTAAGAGACTGGTACCGAAGATGTGCCACCTGTGCGGCGAGCAATGGACCACAACGCAAGCGTAGGGCTGGAATGCAGCAGTACATCGTAGGAAGCCCATTTGAGAGGATCGCTGTAGATGTACTGGGTCCTCTGCCAGAAACCGATGCAGGGAAGAAGTATTACGACAGCCGAGCAGCAGAGTCCTGCTATAAGGAAGGTGACCTGGTATGGTTCTACAACCCACGAAGAAGGCGGGGTTTTTGTCCAAAGCTGCAGAAGAGCTGGGAGGGTCCATATGTCATCAGGAAGAGGATCAATGACGTAGTCTATCGAATCTACAAGGCTCCCAGAGGGAAACCGATAGTAGTCCATTCTGATCGACTAGCACCATTCGCCGGAGACCACGATGAAGGTGTACGAATACAGCGGCTCCAGGACGGAGAGAACCCCACGTCTGAAGACTTCAACAGCATTCCAGGAGGAATGCATCTGAGGAGGGGGCAGTGTAACGGTTTGGCTCTACGGACGAGACAGTGCCAGGGTTTGCCACAACAGTACGAGACAACGAACCGTCAAGGTGACAGGAAACCCAACCTACAATCGGGCAGGCTGACAGAGACTGGGAGAAAGTGTGAAGAATGATCGAGAACGGTCATGGAAGCGGTTACCATAGTTTGTTGATGATACGACACTGTCAATTTGGAGTGGAAGAGAGAAAGCGGGTCAGCGCGGGGCGGATCAACGTTTTAATTGTAAATAGTTTACGCGTTCGGATATTTATTTTGTATTTTAATTAAATAAATAGTTTCAACCCACACTCGTGTTACAGTATAATAGGACAATGCATGAAACAAACAAATATCGCTGATGAGCGTGGCGGGCCTTGCGCACAATACATACGACTGCCACTTCTTTTCTCCGCTTTTCTCTAATATATTTGACTGAAATGGTCTGCGCATAAGTTTCGTTACCTGTATAATTTTTAAATAGTGCTAATTGAAATATAGTTTTTAACCTACCTTTTATATTTCTGAATAAACTCTCTGATAAGAGACGCCTCATTAATTTCTTAGAAGAACCATTTGAACAAAAATACTAAGGAAAAAGACCTTTTGAAAAATAACAAAAACCATTCAAATTAATGAATAAATTAAATTCGGTGAAATAGAATTGCAGACAGACGAAAGAAATGTTCCATAAAGAATTGGATATTTCCTTTGAATCATTCACGGATATCGCATTTTCGAATGCGAGAAATGAATGGGATGGTAAAAGAAATAAACTAGAGACGTTTACTCAAGATAGTTTTTTTGAACGTAGCGAAATTTAATTTTGTATTTTAATTACTGCACATCTTGTGGGTATTAAATAGATTTTGAAAGTTCTAGAAACTTTATCAGTGTTGAATTTTGTAACAAGATAGTCCTCCGGTTTGCAGCGTACGTCCCTCGGGATTAAAATCTTGTTGCACTTAAAAAAACAACAAAAAATTTTAATTTTAACTTCTATGTACTTAAGGTTATGAACATAGTTTATACGTATTTTAATTTTAACCCTTAACTACCATGACAGAAAACGTAACGTTTCTAGTAATCTCTGGAAAGCTATAAATAAAATTAGCGGTAACACAATAAAAAAACAAGAAATTAGACAAATTTTGAAAACGGATAATACAAAAACAAATGTTGAATCCGAAATAGCGGAAATTTTTATCAATTATTATACAAATGTTGGACCGAATTTAGCTAGAAAAATAAACATATCTGGTGCACCACCTGCACCTAGAATCACTTGTAAACAATCAATTTTTCTTAAACCTACAAACGTAAATGAAGTTTTAGATGTAATTAATAATTTAAAGAATAAAAAGGCACCAGGTGTAGATGGTATTACAGCAGAAACTATTAAAGAATTAAAAACGAAAATTGTAATAGCTTTGACTCACCTCATTAATTTGTCATTCCTCTGTACAAAAATGGTGACAAATGTAAACCAATTATAGACCAGTATCACTTACCAACAATTTTACAAAAATTTTAGAAAAAATAATAAAAATCAGACTTGAATCATTTTTGAACAAAAATAACATAATTTCAAAAAAGCAATTCGGCTTCCAAAGTAACAAATCAACTGAGGATTCTATAGCGGAGCTTACAAAATAAATGTACACATCAATGGACCAGAGTAGACCATCAATCGCTGTGTTCCTGGATCTTGCCAAGGCATTTGACACTGTTGACCATCAACAGTTGTTGGAAGCCTTGGCAGATGCAGGAGTAAGGGGTAGTGCTTTTGAGCTTTTTAAAAGTTATCTGTTGAACAGAAAGCAATGCGTACAAATAGAAGAATACATAAGTAGTGTAAAGAATGTAAAATGCGGGATACCCCAAGGCACAGTACTTGGCCCAATTCTGTTTAATATATATATATATATATATATATATATATATATTAATGATTTATTATCATTAAATAATAAGGGCCAGGTACTTAGCTTTGCCGATGATACCGTTGTTTTCTATTCGGCAGATACGTGGAAGGACTTAAAGGTATTAGTTGAGGATGACTTAAAACTCCTTTTTAATTGGTTTGATCATAGGCTTCTTACTGTTAATTATAATAAAACACACTTTTTATCTCTAACAAGTTACCAAAACAATCTTCCTAACTATAATACTCTAAACATAATATATAATAGCAAAAATATTGAAATTAAATCAAAAAAAAAAGTTAAGTATTTGGGTATCACAATTGATTGTCGCCTAAGGTGGAATCATCATATAAATAAGGTAGTTAATACATTAAGAACATTTCTATATAAATTTAAATATCTTACAAATATCCTGGATTTACCTTACCTAAAAATGTTATATTATGCTTTGGTGGAATCGAGAATAGACTATGGAATCATTGGCTGGGGTGGAGCAACTAATGTTTATCTAGAAAAAATTGAAACTATTCAAAAATTATTCTTAAAAATTATTTATAAAAAAAATCGTACTTACCCCTCGGACCAACTATACAAAGAATTAAAAATATTAGATCCTAAAAAACACGTTTTCCTTAAAATTGCCAACTACTACTATAAAAACCCAACTAGCCTTAATATTGTTACTCATGAACACGAAACAAGACGAAAAAACAAAATTAAATATAAAGACCTAGCATCTCGCAAAACTGTAGGCCAAAAATGCCACTTCTTCTTAGCATCAAAAGTGTTAAATTATTTACCTCCAAAAATTCTAAAATCAAAATCATTATCGCAATTTAAAACAAGAACAAAAAAATTTTTATTAGAAGAATATAGAGCAAATATCAAAAATATTATTGATATGAATATCGATAGATAAATGAAAAATAAAAAAATAAAAAAATTTATTAAAAAAAAAAAAATAAATAAAATAAAAAATAAAAAATGATGAAAAAAAAAAGCGGCAAATTTCTCTATTATTATTATTATTATTATTATTATTATTATTATTATTAATATTATATGTCAGTATTTGTATTATATTAATTAATTGTAAAATAAAACATAAAATAGTACTTAACATCTCTACACACGCCACGGACAGTTTTTATACTTTGTGGCAATGGGTAGTTTATTTGTATGTACCTAAAAAAAAAAAAAATTATTATATTTAATTTTTTGTACATTTTTCAAATAAACTTTTATTATTATTATTATTATATCATGTCAGGGTCAAAATTGACGATCTTATTTTTAAATGTGATTTCTTTTTGTTGAAATTGGAGTTGGGGTATCTTTAAGCAACCCTTGTAAAATGTGTTCAAGGAAAAACGATATCAACTTATCCAATTTTTTTATATAACAAATAATTAACACGGATATTCTTAAAACTTTCAATATAAAATGTCTTCTTCCGTTTTTGGATAGTTCTGGGTTGATTAGAGCCTCAAGGATATTTTTGTAACATTTTTTTTGTTTCAAAAATGACCGACATTGACATAAAGTTGTTAAGAAAAGAACCGAACAGTTCTTAAGAATTTCTGAGGTGAACTGTTCTTTCTAAAGAACTGAACTATGCACGTACCCCAATCTACCAACACCGGCGAGGTGGTGCTGAATCTGTTTTCAGTATTCGTTCACTGGCATTAATTGTTTTACTGATTCTACTGCTCTCTAGCCGCAATGCCTGTTCTATGTTTTGAGGTATTTGATACTATATTTTCATTATTTTCAAAAACATGTATATTATAATTTTATTTTTATTATACAATAAACAAAATGGGATCAGATCAAACAAAATATTTCAAAAATTAAACACACTTTTGCATCAATTGGGTATATATTAAACTAATTTTAAATAAAATTGTAAAAATACAATTATTTTTCTTGAGGAATTTAAAAAAATAGTAATTGCGTCAAAGAACCCCACAATAATCTTATGAAAATTGGGTTTCTGTTAAATTGTCTGAATTTTTGATATGTTGTAGATTTTGTCATCTTGAACAAAAGTCTCCATGGGCACAAAGTGCCAAAATGAATATTTTGGCATCTATGGAGCTGCCAAAGCTTCCCTGACCCGTTGCAAAACTATTCATTTTCAATACTATTTACAGATGTCAAAAGCATATTTTAATTATTCTAATATATAGAGTAATGTTTTTGAGGTCACTGGATTCAATCCTCATGTCAGATTGGACAAATTGACCGTTGACAGCTGTCAATTCACGGTCAACGAGGAATATAAAAGTAAATATCCTCTTTTCACATTGAGAGTTTGGATTTTTGAGGTCGCTGAATTTAATTCTCATGTCAGATTGGACAAATTGACAAATGACAGCGGAAAGAGGATATTTACTTTTATATTCTTCGTTGACCGTGAATTGACAGCTGTCAACGGTCAATTTGTCCAATCTGACATGAGAATTGAATTCAGCGACCTCAAAAACCCAAACTCTTAATGTGAAAAGAGAATATTTACTTTTATATTCCTCGTTGACAGTCAATTGACAGCTGTCAACTGTCAATTTGTCCAATTAGGAGGCCTGAGCAAATTTATTATTCTTAGAGGCCACACCCCATCACATGCCTTCTTTTTTATATTTTTATGTTTTCTTTTATTTCTGCAAACATCCATAATTATTGTACATAACTTCCGGCGTTATACTCCTCTGTAAACGTCGCCTTCGAAAACATCTTCATCCAGACCATCCATGGGGAATCATTGACTGGTCCCATACGTCCCTAGTCTCATTTCCTTGCGATAGATTCAGAAACTAGCCACGGAGAATCATCAACTGGTCTCATACCGGAGGTATACTTAGTCTCATCCCCTAACCTGCTATACAAGGTAACCTTCTATGCTTTATTAATCGGGATTCCAGACTGTCTTACTGGACATTCAAACAATCTGAAACCGCGTGATATATTTTGAGAAATATTAGGCTAATCGAATTTGTACATATATATTTAGTTGTAAATTTTTTATCAAGTTAATTAGTTCATAGTATAAACTTACCATATCTTAACAAAATAGTGAACTTGTCCGATTATTTTAAGCATTAAATGCATTATAAAATATTTGATTACGAATTACGTTGTACGCCGAAAATCTGCATATTTAAGGTCTATCTAAAATTAGTGAATCTAAAATTTTAACATATAGGGGTAATAATAATCTATAAATACCTCATGTTTCAATATTCCATATTGAGATTATTCAGCTTTTTAAACAATTAAGAATTTCTAAAATATTTGTGACATTCGAAATAATTCAAAATCTTGTAACATAACCTCACTATTTTCCACATGGCAAGACCAGAAAAAAAATTAAAAAAAAGATAATGAGACTGTCCTGGTACCAGAAATCAACTTAAATAAAACCACGTAAGGTAATCGATTAATTTTTATTGTATTCATCCCCTTAAGTACCCAACCCCTGAGAAATATTCAACATCGCCTTATTATAGGTCAGATACACTTAAAATTTATTTTCATCATGTTTTAATTCAAAACCCTCTACATGTGTATTAAACTTTAGAGGAATCTTTAGAAACTCTTGTGAATATGAGCGTTCTCTATACGAAAGTTTTGAGAATCTAGTCCCAAAAGACATGAGAATTTACCTTATTCATAAAATTGCTAAATCCTTCCCAATTTGCTCAATTCTACTAAGGACATCAATTATTTGGTAACAGAAGTCCAAACCACAGTCACCCACGTTATCGAAACTTTAGCCTTAATTACTTTCATAAACACAACACAAAAAGCACTTCCCCAATTTATTATAAATAGCGAGTTATCGCCATTTGCCACTTTCAGAATACAGTAACCTTATTCCTTACCATATAAAGACATAAGGTCCAAACAAAAATGAATGTTATCGCAAATGTCATTCTGCACGATAGCGCTGATGGCTGAGCTGAATCCATTAGACGATTACGTCTATGATGATGTACTGGACAGTTAATTGAAGCATGCAGCTCTGATGCATCAGTGGATCTTCGGTAGCCATTAAGTAACCGTGTGTTAGTCGAGTATGACCGATTCGAAGTCTTCGGATGGTTATTTTGTTCTTTCTTGAAAGATAAGGCATTTTAAACGGTTCAATGTTTGGTTGGATATTACGTAGTTAGATGTTATTGTATTCCAGTGGGTTCGCAATGTTCTCTTAATATTATTTTTGAAAAACTTTTGGATGTCTTTATGTAGCTGAATGTTTTCCATTACTAAATTTGATGAAGATGCCTCCTTAGCTGCACGGTCGGCTGCCTCATTGTCTGGTATACCCACATGTGATGGTATCCAAATCACTGTTATGGATACTCTTTGTGCAATGAAAAGATGACAGGATTTATGTATTGTTTGGACCACTGAATTTTGTGAGGAACGATTTTTTATTGACATGATTGATGCAAGTGAGTCTGTGCAAATGGCCACTCTCTTCGTGTTTATTTTAAGAAATTTTACAGCTTGGTAGATGCCAACCAGCTCGCCAGTGTGAACACTGGCAAAATGTGGGAGAAGATTTTAGAGATGATATCAAGGCCAGAGATCACAGAGCATCCGACATAGTCTTTTATTTTAGAAGCATCTGTGTATAGGATGGTGTCGAATTAGGAAAAATTTATTAATTATAGAAAAGCTTGGAGATTCTTTTTTAGGGTCATAAGCTAGAGTGGTATTAAAAAGTGGTATAGGAGATATAGGAATTGGAGTTGTTTGAGATAAATCGATATCAGCGAGAAGTGGAGCAACGATTTGTGGTAATGTTTGAACATTATGAGTGGAAATATGGACGTTCGAATATACCGCGTTAATTAAGGAATATGCTGGGTTTTTGGGATTTGGTGAAACCCTTGCACAATAGGTAATAAGAAACTGTTTTCGCCTTAGCCAGAGAGGTGGTTCATTAGCTTCACAGCATAAACTTGCAGATATGCTGGATCTAAAAGCTCCAAGACATGTGCTTAATGCAGAATTTTAAACAGAATTTAAAGTTTTTGGATCAGATTTAGTTGTCGACATATAGATGAAGTTTTCGTAATCTATCTTGGATCTAATTAGTGCTGTATACACCTTAAATAGAACTTCTTCTTTTTCTGCTTCTCATTGATGGTGAGAACGATTTTAGAATATTAAGTCTGCTTAGGCAGTTATTTTTAAATACGCAAAGGTGTTTTTTCAAGTTAAGTTTGCTGTCAAAAATAAGTCCTAAGATCTTGTGATGGTCGACTACTGCTAAAGAACTACCGTTTATGGAAATATTAGGATTTAACGTGCAGGATGATCGTCTGCTGAACTTTTATACTTTCGATTTTGTAGGGGAGAAGTAGAGGCCTGTTTTTTATAGACACAAACTGAGCTGATTCATAGCTTCTTGTATTAGTGTAGAGATAGATGTTACATTTTTACCAATAAGGTCATTTGCATACAGATAAAGTTTGACCGGAGGGCCAATGGAGTTGCATATGTCGTTAATAGCAAGAATGAAAAGAGTCGTGCTTAAAATCGAGCCTTGCGGTACATCACTTTCTTGGGAGAAGGTAGAAGATGTTTTTCCATTAGTAGCAATTTTAAACACACGGTTAGTAAGAAAATTTTTAATTAAACTGAATAAGTTTCCGGTAACCTTACACTTTTTATGATTTTCGAGAATTGTAGGTCTCAAAAAGGTGTCAAATGCACTCTCAATATCAAAGATAGCTTAAAATAAATATCAAATAAATATCAAAAGAAGCATACATACATTTTTAAATATTTTGACATTTAAGAGCAATGCACACATTAG